TCATAAAAACTATCACTAAGGTGGTACCTACAATTGGATGGGATATTGTAGTCTAAATCAAAAGGGTTAATACTCAGCTGATTTAATTTATCAAAATTGACAGATTGATTTTTAAAGTTATAATTAATTTCATGTAAAAATTCCTAGAATATGGTTAAATGCAAATAAGGAAGCTTTACATGGTACACAATACCACTCAGAGTAGACAAAAGTACATTGGATATGTGCATAACGTTTACATATAAGTCATCTATTTAGGGATTGTGTATGGTTAGTTTGTACAGATCTGTTGCATACAATACAAGTCATGGTGATGTTAATTTAGATTGAATGCAGCATAGACCCTAGATACAATACACCACTCATGTACATATACATGCATTATATATTAACTTGGTACATTATAAGTGATTCTGAGAGATAAAATATAAGAATAGCAACAATGTTGGGTATAATTAGTAGTAATACAGCAATTTAGTGTGCCTGTTTACATTTGATGGGGTATGCATTGTTTTGCTTAAAGGTTTGCATGGCGAAGAAATAATATATATGTTGAAGTTTGCGGTACACCACGTAAGTAGTTCTGAAAAGAACTGCTGTAGTTGAGAAAGTCTCGACATTTCGATTGAAGTGCTTCAATCGTCTTCAGGAGAATAATATCTGCAGACACTCCAAACAGGGAAATACTTATATGTTTGGGTAGAGAGGCTGGATAGTGATAAACTGACCAATGGGTGAAAGGCTAAAACACAAGCTGGATGGTGATTGGATGGATAAACTGACCAATGAGAAGACTGCTAGTGAAAGGCTAAAACAAAAGCCATTGTTCACGAAAACAAAACAAAAGGGTGGGAACGCCCAAACAAAGGCATGGTTCCAGGGCAGGAAAGTGGGTATGCATTGTTATTGTTTTAGTATCTTTAGAATAAAGATCTTAATATCCTCATTAAAAGTAATATTTGAAGCAAAAAATAATGTAAGTAAAAATACATAAATACTAAATCTTAGTTCAATTCTTAACGAACATAAAAACATTTATGACAAAGTAAAATTAATTTTTCTAAGATTGAATAGCATTCAAGTCAGCCAATTATTACAGTGGTGGGGCTCTGCTGAAATAGGAATGGAATGCGGTGCAATTTCATTTATGAACATCGAAAGTTGTTGTCGAAATTACCATCTGTACATTTATAACGTATTATAGCAGGTACATTGTATGGAATATATCCTCTACTGCGATTTCATTTCTGTAATTCCAATAGGTATTTTATGTCAATGTCATATTTGGCTAACCTTATTAATAGCCTTTGTAGTCTTGGGCTTGCTTGAGTAATACGCTTTTTCCAAATCGACTCAAGTGGTTTGTGGTCGGTTTCTACTTGTACTGTGTATCCATATACACTGGTGTAAACGCTCAAGTGCAAATACGTCGGCTAGTAGTTCTCTCTCGATGTTAGAGTAGTTAAGCTCTGCATTGGTTAGACTGCCAGAAATGTCCATGACAGGTTGTTCTGACTGTAATAGTACTGCTCCCAGTCCTTTAAGTGATGCATCTGTCTCAATTGTATGTTCAGACTTTTGATCAAAGTAGGCAAGAACAGGCATTTGTGTTATTTCTCGCTTGATGTCTTCAAATGCTGCGGTTGCCAACTGTAGATTACATCTTTTTTGCACAATTCTCGTAGTGGTTGGGTCAGTTCTGAAAGTTTTGAACTGAATCTATTAAGGTAATTAACCATTACAAGGAATGATTGGAGTTCCTTTATGTTTTTTGGACTGTCCCTTTCTGTTATTGCCATTGTTTTATAGTAGGATCAACTTTGAGTCCATGTGGATAAGTCAACATATGTCCAAAAAACTTGCAGTTATTTGATTTGAACTGCACTTTGTCCTTGTTGAATTTAATGTTGTTGGCTCTTTGCGGTCTCAAGTAGCTAAGGACTGTGGCATCATGGTGTAAATCCGATTTTCCACTGACTATAATATCGTCAGCTATTCCAGTAATCCTGGAACAAGTTTTTAACACTAGTTTTTATTTGTTCTTTTTTATACTGGGTTTCCTCTTCAGTAACAAATTACTGTTCTCTCTGAGGGCCCAATACCATAAAACAGTCCATGACAGAGACCGAATGAATCAGTACACCGGGGTAACCCCCTACTCATCTCGAAAGATGTACTGGGTTCTTTAAAGTGCACGTGAGCACTTGTGTACACTGGGCCTACGGTTTATAGTCCTTATCCGAGAAAACTTGTTCCACCACCAGAACTATAGGAGCGAGCCGGCCGCGAACCTGTGCCAATATTGTTGGCTATGATCACGGTGCCCCTGCCTTAACCGCTCGGCCATTTGGCTCGCTCAAGTCGTTCTTGGAATATGTCACTTGAGACAGGAAGTCCAAATGGCAATCAAGTTATCATCAAGTTCTACCATCCAATAGCCAGATTGCTTCCAACAGAATAAAGTGGGTGGAATTCGATAGTTCTGGTATGATATCGTCTATGGTTTTACTATAGTATTTGTTACGTTAGATTGCTTTATTTTAATCCTTTGGATCCAGACATTGTCTAAGGTTTCCATTTTACTTCACAACTGTTAATATATTTATCCATTGAGTATGTTCATGCACAGGTTTAATCACACCCTCGTCGCATAATTTCTTTAACTCTTTTTCATATGCTGCTTTTACGCTTACTGGTACTGACCTTGGTGCATGCTGGACTAGTGTGTAGTCTGGTTTTAAGTTGATATGATAAGGCTTCCTTGGTAAAGTACCTATTCCTTCAAATACATCACTGTATTCATTTGATTCTTTGGAAATTGGCAGTTGATGTCGTTTACCATTGAATTCGATGGTGGCATCGTTGATGGTTTTGATTTGTGGTTTGATGGGTTGCTTATCATTAACGATTGACTACACAGTCTCTATTGCCAACACTCGGGTTCCACTTGTAGGTGAGTTGACCTTTGGGAAGGTGACATATCCAAGAGCGTGTGTGAAGATGGGTATATTGTAACAACTGGGGCCATTTTTTCCGGGCCATTTTTTCCTGGGCCATTTTTACCGGGGCCATTTTTGCCTACATTTGTCACACTGCACTGGCTGCCCATAAAAGAAGGTTCATTTCAAGGTTCTATAATGATGGCCTACAAGTGTATCCAATGCTTGGTTTCTGACTATCTGTCGATCACGCAGTCCCGCCACTACAGTGCTCAAGGTCTACAGGGCTAAGATCAGATTCTGACAATACTTTACTTAAAAGACAAATTACTGCTTAAGGATTGCCCACCAGTCAACTCACTCCTACCTTCAAATTGGCTGACATTTTCATGTGTTACCACATTACTAAAAAAAAAAAATTACCACGCATGATTCGTCTTTCATGTTGAAAACTATTGTTTTTCTTGCGATTAGAAATTGACTAGTACTAGATGCCAACATCATTCGAGCACCTATGAATACTGTCCTGGCGGGCCTTGCGGTGGTATTTGGTTTTGTCTGTGTTGTTCTATTATATTTTTCTATCATTCATTTTTTTCTGTTACATTTCATTGCTACAGAATTAGTAAAAATAAAAAAATAAAAAAACAAGAAACGAAAACCGCTATGATCTTAATGTATATATAATTTATTATTAATGCTTTAATGTATGTATTCTGTTTGTTTATTTACTTTGAAGTCACATCAAATATATGATGTAGGTGTTGCATTGCATTTATAAAGGAGTAATAACAATAATTACCGCTGGAAGCTGTTCCACCAAAAGACACTCATTTATACTTGTAATTTTGAAACCATGTTACAGCAAATAGCATTGCATTGTGGGGTGTGTGGACAAATCAACAATTTGTTTTTATCCCCAAATGCTGAAGAGTGCACATCTTAACTGTACTTTCCATCCAGCCCATTGTTTTGTAAAAACTAGAGTAGGCCTATCCCTGTACAGCGGTCTCCCACTAGAACAGTGGAAATTAATAAACTCAATTTACAAATGAAAATTATGCACTTGTCACTTGTAGTCCCACCACCACACCCACTGGACCCGGGCCTAGCGGGGACTTAGCCGGGGATGTAATTTTCAAAAAGGTTACATACATGTAAAAGTCCCAGCCACCTCCCGGCAATGCGGGGCATCGTTTCTGTACATCCCGAGCTAAGTCCCCGCCACTTACTGCTGTAGTCCCGGTAAAATGCCTCGCTAATAAATGATTGGATAAGACCTACTTGAAGGTCTAGTCTATCTGGTCTAAATCGGAGTGTGCAAACAAAAAGGAAACAGATTGACAGATTGATAATAGAAAAAGAAAATAAATGATTGACTGAATAATAACTAGGCAAGGCCCATTGCGTTCTCTCTGATGATGGGATGCAGCCTGCCTAGGCCTAGCTAGAAGTTGGCTAGCGTCGCAAAAGAAAGAACTGCCAACTTGTATGGGATTTTGTCCTAATTTCGTAGGCTATTACATTTAATTCATACTCATATTTGAATAGCACATACGATTGAGAAAACATAGTGATTTGAAAAACTTGTAATTAGTTTAAACATGCAGGTATAGGCCTATAACAATAATTGTTCTATGTAATGCCACTACTGACGTTAATCACGATCAAAACAAAATGTCGGCAAACTTTTTCTGACACATGTGTAAATCAAAATTTTTTCTAAAAAACGACTCAAAACAACTGGTGGTAGGGGGTATATGTTTTATCGCGTACAGCTTGCATTTTCTAACCGAAAAAACAAACATTTCCCACACAATTACATGTCCACCAGTACCTCTTGGGCACAATGTATACAGTACCCGCCGCAAGGCACCGTTTAGGAGCCTAGTTGTTAACAGACATACAGACAGGTTGTTGCCATACATCTCATACACACATTCCACATCTGTATCATCCCAATATCATCCCTCTGTGACCTAATAATAAAAATAATAATATTAAATAATATTATTATTACTAATAATAATAATAATATTAATGAGTAAATTGTAAGCTCACTTGTTTCGCAGAGAATGCCTGTCCAGCCTGGTTGACAGTAGCAGACAAAATTGGTGATGTTATCATTATAACATGAAGCATTATTCTGACAAGGGTTTGAATTACAATCAACATCTGTCAAAAACAGAAAAAAAAATTGAATGAAAATCAATTAATTTTTATTAAATTATTAAAAAATGGATTCTATGATGTGTGTGAAAAGGACTACCATGAGCTTTAATTAGTTCAACACAAAATGTATTTTCCCTCTAATATAAAATAAAATAAATTATACAAAACAGGTTAACAACGCCTCAGACAACTGAACTCAATCAACTGCGCCCCAAAATAAACTCGCTCCCAAAAACCTGGGCCCATGTCGGCCTTAAGTTAACTCCGTCCCATAACAACTTAGTCCCAGTCAAATAGACCCCAAGCCAACTCAACCAACACCAATTCTACCGTAAGTCAACTCAGCCCCACATCAGGAAAATACAATTCCAGAGTGAAAACCAAGTTTAACCCACAAAGGTATATATCGAGCGTGGTCCTTCTAGTAAATTGGGCAGTACTGTACCATAAATACAGTGACTATATATTAAAGATCATATAGTTACAACATAGCGCTCTTCGCGATTTATGCATAACAAATAGGAGCGTCAATGTTAAGCAAAAAGTAATCATTTTTAGAGTGTCCTAGTTGTTACAGAATTTTCATGCAGAATTTGTGAGATGCGCTATCTGTAGTTAAAGATTGTTGATTTCAAAGTTGAAAAGTAATCATGGTTGCAACCATTACCACTACACTGCAATGTTAGAGAATTTGCACACAAAAAATCGCGGAGAACACATTTTTGTTATTATAAGATCTTAGCTCATACGGCTGTTCCAAGGCAAAACAACGCATATATAATAGCAGTTACGTTGTTTTTCGATGGGACGGCCGTATTAAAAATGCATTCTCACTAGTTTCACAGTGTACCCCTGTCCATCCTGGTAGGCGAGAACTCGTGTAGCGGTTACTTTCCAAGGTTCCTCTGTTCATGCACAGGCTGATGGGATGGTCAACTACTGTACATCAACAAAATCAAATGACAACAATATCATATCAATAAGCCCAATAATTAGTGAAAGAAATGATTACGTCTTGGCATATTAGTCCATAAAAACAGATAATTAAAATAATGTTAATTAAAAGAAACATGTAATGTATCACAAAAGAAGTGTTGGTAACAAACATAAAAAATATTTAATAAATTTAAATTAATATAATTAATTAATCTAAATAAATTAATTTAATGATATATTTGTTGATATATTTGTAAAAAAAGAGATAATCATCTTTTTAAAACTAATTATATTTTTCTTAATAAGCACAGTAATTAGAAAAAATTAATTATTCAATCTTGAGATTTTAGCAAATGATCATTTGTGGCAAAGACAAACTAAAAACAGTCACTCGTCGCAAAAACCAATTTCTGGTTAATACTACGTGGTTAAACAGTAAAATGAGAGCTATAAAATGATAAAAAAATAATTTAAATCCAACATTTCCTTTTGAAGCTACAAGCGTTTAAACATACAGCTGTTTAAGAAAACTATTTGCGAAATCAGTCAGAAAGTTTATGATTTCAGGTATTTCTCAGTCAGAAACCATTACCAAATCATGAAAACTTACTTTTTAAAAATTAAAAATAGGGAAAATAACAGCATAGCATGATGTGTAGATATATAAAGGTTATAGTTTAGTGCAATAAAATAGATTTAAAATATTTTGACATTCCATCATGTTTTGGCCATTATCTCTGAAACAAGATTTGGAACAAGTGACTGGTTTGGCTTGTCTTTGCCACATTTATGAAAACTTGATTTCATATTGCATTATGCTTATATGTTCAAAAAACAATAGCATTTTTATAATTTACTTGTATTTTAATGCTGTGATAGTCATGAATTTATTTTGCTTGAAAATATTAATAAAGCAGAGATTTCAATTATATTTGTATCTTGTTGGATAATCAAAATATTAAATAAAGGACAAAATTAATTTAATAACCATTCGCTGTTGATTCAGTCAAAAGATATTGCAGTATTTAAAATTATATATTTTACATTAATTATTTATATAATAGTAATTAGCAATTTCAAGAATTGGAATAAATGGGAATCAACTAGAATAAAATTCAGGTTGGTAAACAAGACTTTAAATCCAAAAGTTAAAAATGTATGTCTACAAGGGAGTAAATATAAATATAATCCATGAAATATCCTTATCTAACCGGAACCATAACCAGATGAAAAGCAAATCAAATCAAATCAAAGTTTCTTTTATTTGGAGCATAAAACAATTAATAACAGAAAATTTCATTAGGTAAACAATATTTGGGGGAAAGAAACTAAAAGTGATAAGCAAAACATGGGAGAATGTAACTAAAAGAAGGAGGATCAGATATACTGAAATTGGTTTTTTGACTGATCTTCCATAAGCATTACGTATAATGAAATAATAATAATGTAATTGTTTCTGAATTTTTTCCTTTTTATTAATCCAGTTGCCAATTTTTATAAGTAAACATGTCAAGTCCGTAAGTAAAAACAACATTTACTTATAAAAATTGACAACTGGATTAAGTGAGAAAGTTCAATGCAAGTACACCATTCTGACATGACAACTGGCGCACTCATTTCATCTAGGGTTCAAAATTTTCCCGGGAGAGGACCTGTAATAAGAGTGAGTAAGTTTGGTTTAACTGATCGTTTTCAAGAGGGGAAAACCTTAATTTTGAAGAACTTAAAAGCCATTAAAAGACACTTCAGAAGTACTGTGCTATCTTTTTGATAATGGGTAAAAGCTGATTCTTCTTCTTCCATTCTAGTACAGACCACCATTCAGTGTATTTTCGTACTGTGGTGGTGTGCGAAGTAGGCAAGGTTTTAGAATCCAAGACTCATTTTATTTTATTTATTATTATTATTATTATTATTATTATTATTATTATTATTATTATTATTATTATTATCTACAGTATTTTTATTTTTTTTTATTTTTTTTATTTTTTCTTTAGTTATTTATTTATTTAAAAAAAAAATTAAAACATCAACCTCTTTGCTAGACTCCTCTGGGAAGGGGCACGACTCCCATTTCACCTTATGGTGGAGTACCCATTTCACTGCTCTGTTTTAGTTTCGGAGCTGCAGATTTTCCAGACTACGTTTGAAAGTACTGAGTGATTCACTGTCGACAACATGCTGTGGAAGACTATTCCAGAGACGGATGCTGTCCGGGAAGAATGATTTACAGTAAGGTAAATTTGAGTTCTTGCAAATGGTATCAGGAACTTGCAGGAATGACCACGTAAGTTTACACCTGATGGAGTCAGGCACGTGCGGCATACATTGACGAGACCATTTACTAGGCGATACATCATGTTAACTTTAGTCTGGGCCCTCCTTTCTTGAAGTGGGGACCATTGAAGATCGTTTGGCATTGATGTTACGCTGCTTGTTTGACGATAATCACCACAGACGAATCGGGCATACCTTCTTTGCATCATCTCAAGATTTGGATGTTGCCTGTCGTTGGAGGGTCCCATACTGCGCTGGCATACTCAACAATAGGTCGCACTAAGGTTTTGTAGCAAATCTCCTTGATCTTCTTGGGGCACTCAAAGGTCTTTCAATAGAGATGTTGGCAGTGGTTGGAGATGACGGGACTTGTTATTCGATGATGAAATGGTCTTCATAATATCATCATCAGTGACAGGTTCCCATTAATCAAAACAATGTCAACATCATTAACTTGTTCAGCAATAAATGCTGAGCAGTGGTACCCTGACTTTAGACAAAAAAGGTTCCAAAGATCTATGCCTGACCCACATGATGGGAATTTAGGACCATTACTTGCACTAGTGAGTTATACCTCCATGGTGAGTTCAAAAATAATCCTAAACAGCTGCTTTTGATTGCATGTGCAGTACTAATCTTGGGCTAAAGGTCCACTGATTAATCTCAGATAAGATAGTATAATACATACTCCAAGTATCGAAATGCACGCCATCGTATCGGGATTCAATATTTCGACATTAATTATGTCATAATCAGGAATGCGTGGTCATTTTCTGTAAATAAATGGCCCCATGGCTTCCGGGCTAAGTAGCTATATGACTGCTCTAATCACTTGGATCCGATGACTTGGATCCAAGAAATCCGACTTTGACAATCTACATCGCATGCTCAGAATTCGGCTGCCAAGCTGGTCTGTGGTGGTAGAAGGTGTGATGCTACACTTATCTTACGTCAAACTGCACTGGATGCCCGTAAAAGAAGGTTCATTTCAAGGTTCTATGATGGCCTACAGGTACAAGTGTATCCAATGCTTGGTTTCTGACTATCTGTCAATTACGCAGTCCCCCACTAAAGTGCTCAAATACTTAATACTGCTTAAGGATTGCCCACCAGTCAACTCACTCCCACTTTCAAATCGGCAGACATTTTCATATGTGTTACCACATTACTGAAACAAATTACCATGCAACATTCGTCTTTCATGTTGAAAACTATTGTTTTTCTTGCGATTAGGAATTGCCCAGGACTAGATTTCAACATCTTATACCATAATTATCATGTACAGAAGGTAGTGCATCAGGGTTTCAAGCTTCTTTGCTTTTGTTCTGTAATGTATGCTCACATTAATAGGTACATGCTCACACTGTATTAGTCGATGTCATGCGTCTATGCTGGGGTAGTACCACATAGAGTACTCGCTGAATCTTAAATAACTTTCCAATAATCACTGATTTGTATTATGTTTATTTTCAATTCAAATTGCAGCCACCTGAGAATCACAATCATATTATGAAAAACACTAATGGAGTACACATAGGTGACGATATGATAATAGGGCAACTTAAAAAAAGAACATACTTACTGGTTCCACAGTCATAGTCGGTAAATATTTTTAGACATTCACACTTTAGGAAATCAAAGTGAGTACATTTTTCACCGGTCATACAATCACTGTTGTTTGTACATCTTTTATCGTCAAATACATTACTAATCGTAAAATCTTCAATTTAAGAATAAAAAAAGAAACAAAGGGATGAATTGGCATTTCTTTATATCTTTTTATATATATTTTGAATTAAATAAATTACATTATTTATATTGCGTATGATACTTAAAATAACAAAAACTGAAAGTATGGAACAAGAAATGTATTAGTTACTGACAATGACATTGCTTTATTATAATTATCAGCTCACAATAAAACAAAAACCTGAAAATGCTTGCTGTTGTTTGGATAAACAATGGTTTTTTGAAACTCACACAAGAAATCAGAGTAACTTTGACATGTACCACTATTCACGCAGTCCCTGTACAAGTGCTCGTACCTGTTTTAATTACTTACAAAAATAAATGACTATATTATGATTCCAGAACAAATTATGGTTTTCAATAAGACCCTTTAACTTGTGGAGGGTTATACTCGGCATACAGTTTTTGTTTAAAATGTTTGAAGCCATTTCGACCCATAAAATAATAGTACTAAAAAGTATACCTTCTATAGTTTATCTTTTGGTCTGTGACTGTTGTAGCAGCCATAGACAGGCGCTTAGTTCACATAATTCTGAAATGAACCATAACATTGGGGTAACACCCTACTCGTGCGAAAGATGCAATACGTTTTTAAAGAGGACACGAGCCAGATGTATAAACGGGACCTCCCGTTTTCAAATCGTTATCCGAGAAGACTTGATTCTACTAACCGGAATAGTTAGCGGCGATCAGTGGGAGCCAAAATATCCACCATTCCTGTTAAAATACAAAATGTAAACATCATAGATATTGATTTTGCACACACAAACATTGAAATTAATTTAAAGACTCTGGTGGTGTACCTCAATGCACCATCTTAGCCCCTATTGTTTTTCTTAGTGATATAAATGATGAAATGAAAGATAATACTGTCCAATATCAATACTTAGAAATTATATTTACATGATTTGACCATAAAGTAACTATTCTACAAGATTGTATTAACTCCCTGCAAAAGTAGAGTAATCATAATAAACTAAAGCTTAACCCACCCAAATGCATTGTATACTTTGGGAAATCGGTTGTCCAGTCATCAGAAATATTCATATCTAATATTATAATAAACTTGGGGTTGAATCTTAGATTGGATTCCCAAGTACATCTTTTAAAATATTCTTAAGTTGTTTAAATTTTTAAAACAATTTTACCAATCTTTTTACTACTGAATTTCAATATTTTTTATATGTGATTACGACGTGTGTCATTAATTGTATTACTGTACTTTACCTTGTGATCTTTGTCGATGTATTTTAACAAGATTCAATGTATTCTATGTTGTATTGTAGATTAAGCTTTTATCATTTTTGAAATGAAGTAGCTTCTCAATTGTATTAATTTATTAAAACAGGACCATTTAAAAAACAGACTGTTACATCTTGTCTGAAATTATATCCTGTATAAATATGTTTAAATTGCTTATGGAAACAAATGAAAATTGGGGGTTCTTTCAGAAAATTGGAAAATTCAAGGGGCACTTTTTAAATGAAAACAATATTATATAAGGACATCTGGAAACCGAAGATTACAAATGTTTCTGGTGCAGAAAAGATAATCGTCCAGAGAGCATGCTCATGACAAGAATGCTGTGAGTATTTACACAAAGCAGATGAAATTATTGGTAGTAGTGGTAAGCTTGTTGGCCATCTGTCGATTGAAATTAGCAGTATCATTGCAGGGTTTCTTTCAAATTCCGATGAGAACGTTGAAAATTGTCGGGAAAAAAATTCAAAGAGAAGTAGTAATTTGCCTAGACAAATGTAAGAGAGGAAAGTTTGAAAGATCCTGTCCGGAGAACTCTCATCTGTCGAGGCGAAACATCCTAATTTTGAAACTGACATACAGTATGAAGGAAATTTGAATCCACTCCGCAGCTAGCTCAATCTCAAATCATGACAACCACAGTCCCAGGATAGACTGGATTATTGGCTTTCAAAAAAAAAAAAAAACACATGATATTTTGGGGGGGGGGGGCGCTTATTCAAAGTAAATTTTCATAACTTCAAATTTTTAAGGTGCTTATTCAAAGGGGCGCTTTAATTCATACGTACGTGATAGTAATATGTACATACGTAAATAGGTATAGGCCTACAAAGCCGTAATCATTTACTTCTTCATAGTGTATTTGTTGAATTTATTTTAATTATATATGTGTTCAATAATTGCTATATCATACAGAAATGCCAACCTGTATACTGTTACACAAATTGCAGGATATTGCATAATGCGATTTTTGAAATAGAGTTTGAATATATATTGACAATAGAAAGTTCCAGTAAATGATCCATCATTTTAAAGTTTTACTGTGGGTAATTAGATATGAATATGATAAAAAGTAAATTTTCTTGTTTTGGTCATTGATTCTGGTTTATTGCATGCCCAGCAAGCCCTCCTACACATTAGCTTACGGATCCATGATCAGGACGAGAGTACAAGCCCGTAGGCAGGATTTTTATAGAGAGAGTGAGTAAAGAGTTATATTTTTTATCAAAAGGGCAGTTTGAGTCCTTGCTCACCTCAGCATCGTAGTTAGGGAAGTTTTTAATGATTATAACGCCTCAGATGTCCAGAAATGGCATTGTATATTAAAAAGTCAAATTCAATGTTTTCAATGGCAGATTTAAGGGGTGGGAGAGGGCGACCCAAGCCTCGCCCCCGCCCCCCCTTTTGGGAGGTGAAAAAAAAGAAATGAAAAAAAAATATAAGCCCAGAATGCCTCAAAATGTTATTTTCGGGTGTCTAGAACACAAAAAATTTCCCCGCACCATAGGACAGTGTTGTCTCGATCAGCCCAACTTTAGGCCCCCACTTTCGGCACCCCTCCCCCACTTTTAGACATCTCTGGATCCGTCCCTGTTTGTAGCTAATTTCAACAACTTCCATGCAAATGTTATTCATTCTAATTCAAAAAGTAATTTCTGGGAAAGGGTGTTCTATTAAACTCTTAAATCCATCTTGCTACCGTTGGAGATTATAATAAGCTAATACAACTACAATGTTTCTGTCTATGAAAAGCCTTTTCAGAGTTCGTTTCATCAATCTAATGTTTTTGTAACCAAGTAATGCAGAAATTGATACAAAAAAAAATCAATCGCTGACGGTGAATGTTAAAAGAAGTATATGAGTAATTACCTTAACAAAGAATAAAATGTTGACATTAAATGCCAAAACAATGTCCCAATTTGTTAATAAGGCAGATAGACAACAGATAGTTTCCGGCTTCGAATCCCAGTTTAGAAGTTCCTAACGTTCAAAATTGACATTATAATGATAAATATTTTTTACCTCTAAATATATCTTTAAAATAAGAATAAAAATAGACACAGTGCAAGACAACTAAGCCTCCATGGCCCAGTTGGTTAAGTTACTTGTTACTATCACGTATGTACATATTACTATCATATGTACGTATAGGTGTTAATTTTACGTAGTGTTATTAGATAAAAAAAAGTTACCCAACCAGGATTCAAACCCGGGACCTTCTGGTTGTACACGCCTTAACTACAGTAAACTAGGCCATGGAAATTGTGTAACACTATGCAGTTTTGTTTTAAAGTGGTCACTCCTGAACCCCCTGTTAGGTAATCATGTACTGTATTAAACATTGTAAGTGTGGCTAAAATTAGTAGGTATTCTAGTGCAGAATGACCTGAAGTGGGATGCTATGTTAACATGATGGTTTCAAAAGGTAGTAAAACACTCCATTTGTTGCGACGTCTATAGAAATTTGGGGTAAATTACCTGCTCAATATATTGCACTTATGTACACCCCTGTTACAAATACTGTATACCTTTATGGCATTTTGATCTTTCTCGGAAACATATTACATCAACTGAATCTATTCAGAAAAGGGCAGTTAAGATGATCTAGGGATCCCTTACGGTCATAGTAGATATTCAGAGGCTCTTAGCCAGTGTAATCTTACCCGATTTCAGTGATAGAAGATTAGTAATCTGCAAGCAATCTGCTGACTCATGTCTTTTAAAGGAAAGTGCAGGATTGGTCCTTTTGAGGTTTTGCACTGCTATTGACAGTGTTGAAACACCGGAGTTTTTTGGCTATTCTTTTGAAAAACCAACTTTAAAAAGCTTTTTTTAGCTATTTTCAATACTTGTTTAACTTAAGTATTTTTACTATAGAGTATTAAGGTTGGTGAGGCTATAAGTTTTTTTCCCGCTTTACAACTTTAAGTTTGCTTTTTACTGCTTGGTATCTGCTATGCTGCTTTTTAAATCTCCTTATCTGAGTCAGCGCTATAGCTGCTTTTTTAGCTATGTAGCATTTTTGTTGCTTTTTACTGCTTTGCATCTATGCTTTTTTTTATATGCCCCTCTCTGTGTCAATGATATAGCTGCTTTTTCTGCATTTTTTGCTATCTATGCTTTTCTGAGCATCTGCTGTGCTGTTTTTTAATATATCCTTATCTGTGTCAATGCTATAGCTGCTTTTTCTGCTATGTAGCATTTTAGTTGCTTTTTACTACTTTTCACCTGCTATGCTGCATTTTTTATATGTCCCTCTATGTGTCAATGCTCTGCTGGTTGTACTATGCTACTTTACTACAGTATGTGCCTATTTTAGTCGATGTTATAGCTGCTTTTTGTGCTTTCTTTTTGCTATACAGTAGCATTTCAGTTTGCATTTAGTCTATGCTGCTTCTTTTATTATGTCCCTATTTCAGTCAATGCATATGCTTTTTCTGTCTTTATTGCTATGTAGCATTTCAGTTTGCTTTTTACTGCTTGGTATCTGCTATGCTGCTTTTTTAAATCTCCCTATCTGAGTCAGTGCTATAGCTGCTTTTTTTTGCTATGTAGTATTTCCGTTTGCTTTTTACTGCTGGTTGTCTGCTATGTTTTATGTCTCTACTTGAGTCAATGCTATAGCTGCTTTTTCTGCTTATTTTTGCTATGTAGTATTTTAGTTTGTATTTTACTGCTTCTTCTCTGCTATGCTACTAAAACATGTCATGTGAGAAAATAATCATCAGTCCGATTATTATAATGATTATTATTTTCATATTATTATCATTTATTATTATTATTATTATTATTATTATTATTATTATTATTATTATTATCATCATTTATTATTATTATTATTATTATTATTTTTATTATTATTATTTTTATTATTATTAATAATATTATTATCTATTTGTATTTAATTAATTTAATTATTGTTATTAATATTTATTTGTATTTAATTATTGTTCTTAGAATGTTTTATTATAATTATTTATCATCAGTCCTGCCAGAAAATTATTATAACAATTATCAGTGACAATTGTATTGAAGTTCACTTCTTTTTTTATTAAGAACCAGTAATAATAATAATAATAATAATAATTATTATTATTATTATTTATTTGCATTTAATTATTGTATTGTATTACAGTATTTATTAACTCCTCTGCTCCCATTGAACACATTGTTAATGACATTATTTATAAATTATGTAGATGCCATTGTTCCCCCACATGTGTTTGTTCACATGAAACTTTTTCATTAATAACTTCATTTCATTGCTTTACAGTATATAATGTTGAAATGGTCAGTCATAGTTTTTACTGTGTCATTAAAGAAAACATACAGTATTTATTTAGAATTTATTTTGAATGTACTGCCAATTAATGCAAATTATAATTTTTGTTTAAACATCACTGTTTTTGTTATTTTGGATGTCATGTATACAAACTACTTTCTGGCAAAAAATCTCTTCGTAAAGCGCAAGAATGAACAAGGTTATGTTACCAAGGACATTGTTAACTTTTGGTGTGCAATTCAATAGATAGAAGCTTTTTAAATACAACATAATAAACTTCATTATAATGAATTTACATAAATTTGTTTTATATTAACATGATAAATCATAAAATATATATAAGTGTTTATAATTCATATAATAAATATAAATACAAATACAGTAATCCAACAGTAATTTTAAAATAATTGTATTATTATTATTATTATTATTATTTACAAAAAAAACAATTAAAAAAAATGGATTTTTTTTTTTGTAAGAAAATATTATTATTTTCATTTGTGTACTGTTGTTAGTAAATATTGTTTTACTTTGAATATCAATGCACCAGCAAACAACTGGCTGATCTGAGCCCATTAATTATTATTATAATAATAATCATAATTATTATTATTTTCATATTACTGTATTATTATTATTATTATTATCGTTATTATTATTATTATTATTAAAATTATTATTTATTTGTTTATTTAATTTTTGTTATTAGAATTTTTTATTTTAACTATCATCAGTCCTGCCAAAAAATTAATACAACAATTATCAGTGACAATTGCATTGTAGATATTATTATTATTATTATTATTATTATTATCCAAAGTGACCGAAAATGCTACATAGCAAAAATAGCAAGAATAGTACTACAGCTCTGTATCAAACATTGTATAGCTAAAAGAGCAGTTAAAGCATTTTGGTTATGAAACTCATCGCAGGAATATGTTTAACGTTCACCTGGATATTTTCAGGGCCATTTTCAGTTCCTCATGTCTAATTGGGGATCTACTGTAGTTGTTAGCTAGGTTCATATGGAATTATAGCCAGATGAAGTAGCTGATCTACTTGCCAACTTAATTGGATTAAATCCACTAATCGCGTTCGACGTTAAAGTTTAGAGCGAGATATTTTGACTACCAAAAATTTGGAAAACACATCATTAGACAGGAAGTACAATCGCATGGTGGGCAATTACTGTTGATTTTCGCGCGACTAGTTTATGCATGGAGGTATTATTGAGAAAGAGATCACACGGAAAATCTACGCGCACGCAGTGCTATGCAAATGGACCAAGGTCAAAGTTGCCGCAGCGCATAAAGAACGTTTGCGCGATGCCTTTGAAGTCCCATGTGTTCCCCGCCATCAAATTTTCAACAGGCATAGTTGACCAAAAAATTGAACATGACGAAATTTAGAGCACCTTCTTTTCTCAATGCGGACTACATACTGTCAATCACTATGGCTGAGCAATCTTTTCTATTTTGAAGCTGATACATTTATCTCTCATAAAATATCAAACATATTAATACTTTCCACCAAGAAAAGCTTCAAATTTAATGGAACATTTACATGACCTATAAAAGTATAGTATATTTCAACTTCAATTTTCATAAATTGGCCAAAATTCGCCCATTCCAATTTTAACAGATATTAATTATTAAATGATTAAGGATTATAATAAACTAAGTCATTTTAGGGTTAACGAGGGTTAACGATTCGAAAAATGAATCCAAAATCTGATTATTTTTCAGTTTTACGCTGACTTAGCTTTATAGTCGAACCAGTAAATCTTTAGACAAAATTATAATGAACACAAAAGTAATTTTAACATAAATATTTTACGGAATCCGTTCCTGAAATATACAAATAATAACATACCAAAAGCCCAAAAAAATCTAATCAGGGGAACATTGTTCATTATAAAGATATTTAATGGGTTAAAATCAAACGTTTTATTGCACAACTGCTCATTTGAAAGCGTATAAATGCATGTCATTGCCAAGTTGTTGCTAACAAAAAAATGTGAATTATAGGGTAATACGCCCGCGCGCGATCCAAAAGCGGGGAACACATAGGTTTGTCGCGTCAAAGGGATCTGTTGCCGAGTGATCTCCTTCTCAATAATACCTCCATGGTTTACGCTAGATCGAGACTATAGGCGTAAGCTAGGCCTAGGTCTTGGCGGTTGATTAGACTGGCCGAGGAGTCCAGCTGGAGGGTTTACACTGATTTTTCCCCCAAGTATTTCGTTTAGTGCGTGGTAGTGTGGGCATGCTGATTTCGGGTCATCCATTATTACATTGGCCGACCCCTTGCCCGTCCCACGAATAAAAACGTCTCTCACAGCATTGTGTTCTGCTCTTAGATTTTTCAACTTTGTCACAACAATTGCCGATGTTATGCTATTGTGGCCTAAGTCCCGCATTCTCTCTGCTATCCTCTCGTGGACACCAGCCTTCTGACGATACAATTTATCTTCAACTTTTTCGGTGATTTCTGGCTCCCTCCAGATATCTATTAAATATTCCTGCGCATACGTCCAGAGATGCCGTTTCTTTACTGACTTTTCGGCCATCATTTGCAAAATAAGACTTGTTGAAATTAAAGTACATCAGGGAGACTGCGTCAATTCTGAATGGTGTTTATGACAGTAACTAAAAAACGTGCTAACCAGCGAGCATGGAAGGTCACTTTGCTTCAATATAATTGGTATATTCGTGCCCTATGGCCACCCGCTGTTTAATTGTTTACTGGCTTTAGGCTGGATTAAGAAGTTAGTCGACATAAGTTTACTCGACGGGCTTAGTCGAGTTGTGGCCTTCATCTCGCCATACTTGAGCGGTCATACTCAAACTTATGGCGAGATCATCTAGCTCATCCACTAAAATTATCTCGCTATAGTTGGATATGAACGGGGCTGTTGTGGTGGACAAGCAAAGTATAAAATTGTTTCGAAAACCAATTCGGTTTTTAATGATTTCAGCTTTTGGGGTCCGACGTAACAAACATTCCATTGTCATCTTTAACATGCACTGAAGTATTCTTGGTTTTCTGTGATAATGATCACGCTGCTTCAACATTACTTTCATCCTTTGAATGAATAATAATCAGAATTTATCAATGTATTCATTTTCGATTTGTTTTATTCCCTTCTTAATTTCTCTTTGTTTTCTGTTCATCTGCTTTCAATTCTGTGATCGATCGTAAGCTACAGCTTATTTAGGATATTTTGACCTTAATGGTGGATCCCAAGCGCAATGCTTTTATCAAAGTCAAAAAAGGCTGCTTTTATGCAAAAAAAAAAAAAAAAAAAAAAAAGTTTTAAAAGAAGGAATTTGTCTTTCGTAGTTCTCCAGAATATTGATACCGACTACCTTATGTCAAGAATATCCTTTGCTTTCACAGATTTCCCTCCTAGGTTTGTTGACACTGATGTTAACACCGCAATTATTAAACCCACAACTTCAATTCTTAAAGGGATGAAGTGGCTCCAGAAAACAGGAAAACTATTAACATCAGGCTAAATTGTCAGTGGTACACAGATGATTGCAGGACGGCTAAAAGAAAAACGGCGCTCACTTGAACATAGATTGTTTAGATAGGCAAAGAGTGTGATCTAGAATACAAGCAAACAATGTTCTGCGTATAGTAACATACTTGATACCGCTGTATTACATTAAATCCAAGATCGAGGATTGTGAATCAGACCAGAAGATTCTTTCTAAAATCACAAACTGACTCTTTGGTAAAAGAAAATTGGAGGCTTTCCGTTTAGCTTATCAGATGAATCTTGCGAATGAATTAACCAAGCTTATTCTTGGATAAAGTTCATATGCTGAGAAGGTCACTTATCATATGCGAGTCGATGTGCAGAATAATAAAAGAAAGTTTATGCAGCATCAGTGTTATAAAGCTAATACGCGCGCACGCTGTTTGGTACAACATGGCGCCATGCGCCAAGTTGGCCAAACTCTCTCTACATCTACAGTTCTGATCGGGGGGTGCGCACCCCCCCCCCCACCTCCGCGTTCATTTGTCTTTGTTTCTTGTGGCTTCAAAAGCGCCTTGAGACAGTTTTCTGTGGAAGGCGCTATGAGTCATGACCATTGACTAGGCTAGGCTAGGCCTAAGTAGCCTAATTAATGCATATAGGGCCTATATATATATATATGTGATAGAAAGTACACTTTCGAAAGAAATAAATGAAATAAGAAAACAAAAATTAAATAACAATCATTCAGTTGCAGACGTACCTTGTTTAAGTAGTATACAATGCTAACAATGCTTCTTGCCCCAGCTAGGCAAGATATCCATGTGCAAAGCAGTGGCGTTTGTTTATCCATGAAAAAAGCACGCCGGGAAAGTTTGCCATACCAGGAAAAAATGTGACGTTAAGTAGCTTATGACGTATGCATGCCAACTATATTGTGAGTGTGACGTCACCAAAAAATAAAAATTTTCTTAAAACAAAAATATTAATAACTACAAGGTTTGTGGGCGTAATTCCATAATTAAGGGTAGCACCATCTCCTTGCCATACAAATTACAGCTCCCACTGACGTCTCAGTCGAGAAAATAAGGGTAGCTGAAGTTTTTCTCGCAAATCTGACTACAGTACAAAACAAAATCAAAGTCCACTTCTGACTTGGAGTTGTTCTTCGCACACGCCGCTGAGGGCGGTGTTCCGGCAACCCTGGGTCGAGGTGAGTGTATTATACCATAGAGAAATTTCTCTATGGTCTATTTGATCTATCATCCGCGTTTGACATAATCGATTATTCTATTTAACTTATGAGGCTCGCATCACTTAGCCGGGTAGGCAACATGGTGCTTAGTTGTTTCCCGTCTTACCTGACATCTCGAAACAGCTTGTCAGCATGCGCAATTTCAATTTCAATTTAATATGATATTTTCGTAACAGTGGCACACGTTGGACAATACCCAACGGTGCATCCAAATATAAGAAAAATAAACTTAAACTAGATAAAAGTAAATTAAACTAAAATGTAATAAACAAAGTAAAATTTATCAACATGGCATTTAGGCCTATGTGGTACGGTAGTCTTACAGTACCGTATTATTTGCAGAGTTGATAATAATAATAATAATTATTATTATTATTATTATTATTATTACTATTATTACTATTATTACTATTATTACTATTATTATTATTATTATTATAATAATTAATTATTATTATTAATATTATAATAATAATAATAATAATAATAATAATAATAATAATAATTTTTTATTTGTCCTCGTATATGTATGCCTACACACTGGGAAATTCGGGCTGGGTCCTGGGTCCCCGGGGACCCGCGGCTGCCATAGCTCGGCGCCAACTACCCCACTTACTTTACAACAACAAAAGGATACAGACTGATACATACATGGTCCTTAACTCGCCTAACTCTCCTGAGAGGGTTATTCGAGGAGCTGAGCGCTTTGTTATTATAAAGTTGCAGTATTTATTGCAAGTTAATACATAGCTAGAACTAATAGACCAAATATGGGTTCATATTTACTACAGTAACACATTTGAAGGCAATATAAACACTAATCAATAACAAAACTACAGTAATTAAATTTGTACTAAACATTTTACAAGGTATTTATAGCAAAATAGAGAGCTTAAAACTAACTGATCATAAAGGTTCATTTTATTAACAAATTAAAATGAAATGCAAAAACTAATTAAAGTGTAACGGGTGGTAGTGTGGCCATGGATTTATATATTTCAGATCTTAATTTCCATGCGCCTTCGAGAAATACCTTACAATAATTATCAAATATTTCTGCTAATTTATGGTTACCAAATTGGTCATAAAGGTTATCGAGAAATAAATGATGTTCTAACGGTCCGGTTAAAAAAAGATTCCCAAAATTCACCTAATCCCCATTTAACAAGGTTATTTTTTAAATCATTATAAACTTTTTCTCTAAATGGCTGGATTTTACTCAAATAAATAAAAATGGTCGGTTGTTTCTTTTAAATTTCGGTAGCATAATTTACAAAAACCATTTTGTGTAGACCATGTCTGCTTTTTACCCTGGTTTAGAGAATTAGTACGTGCGTTTTGAATTTTAATGCAATTCCTATGAATTTTTTTTTTGTCTAGTAATATGGTTCAAATATAGGCCTGTCTTTGTATCTGATATACTCTGTTAGTGAACTTTTTAATTTACAATTTTCAAACCATGTTTTTGCGTCAGTCTCTTTATTAATCTTTTTAAATTCTTTCATCCAGCCGTTTTAAGGTTCAGTATTGCACATTATTGAGTGATCAAATTTATTTAATATACCTTTTATTGTATCTAGCCATTTCCATTTTAATGAGTGTTCAACATGATTGATTGCTGTGAATAAAATTCGTGGCCATTTTTTCATCCATGTTTTTAAGACTGTTAAAAAATTGTATTATGAAATTGTTTTGAATTGAATCGATTGATTATCAGCCTAGATCTCCATACAAAGCGTCTTTAGCTACATTTCGTGGTGCACATAAAATGATTCGAGCCATCTAGTATTGAAGATTTTCTAGTTTGGCAGTGGTAGTTTTACTCTTTTTCGCGTCTAACACGCATTGGACGTATAATGTTATTATTATTATTATTATTATTATTATTATTATTATTATTATTATTATTATTATTATTATTATTATTGTTATTGTTATTGTTATTGTTGTTGTTGTTGTTGTTGTCTTTAGGTCTAACTTAAAGACCCACCTCTTTAACTAATTATCCCATTTTTATTCTTATTTTATTTATTGCATTATTTATTTGTGATTCCAAACTTTGCCATTGCTTCTTTTGATTTGTTTACTTGTTCTGTTCTTGGGTAGGCAATGATCACGGCTACTTGTGGATTGTGAGGTGCCTAAATGTGTGGGGTGCTGCGCTTCGTATACCTGCAAAGAAAGGCGCTTTACAAATTTTCTGATAAGATTGGATTGGATTATTATTATTGTTATTATTATTATTATTATTATTATTATTATTATTATTATTATTATTATTATTATTATTATTATTATTGCGATTATTATTATTATTATTATTAGTAGTAGTAGTAGGCCTAGTAGTAGTAGTATTATCTTTATTATTATTATTACTCATATTATTAATGTGTTCATCATTACAATTAATAGGCGATTTACATAGGTTATTGTTACAAAGTAGTGTTTAAACTGGATCATAATCGTTTATATCATTATTTAAAAGGTCTTGTAAAACATTAAATCTATTGTTTTGATCTTTAAACACATTACCACACAAGCCCTTCCTGTTATTGTCAAGAGCGGCGTCTTCATCTTCGTCTAATTTTTAGGCTAAGTCAAGCTGTGCTGACTTAATGCGTGGTGTACCACAGGCTTCAATACTTGGTCCTATTTCGAGTCTATATTTCTCCTTAGGCAGCATCATGTCAACACTGTTTGAATTATCATGTTTATGCTGATGACATATATACATCAGTTTTAAACCTGTCGAATGTGATAAAACCTAAACCTGACCTAAAAATTCCCCTTGATTCGTTATAGACCACAATTTTTGAGAATCTATGGGCCTAAAATGTCCAAAGAATACACAAAACACTACCGGTACTATTTCAAATAAACTGTACTTTTTCGCATATAAGCATGGCTTCAATGTATTATCTTGCATTTCCATTAGAAATACCATGGAGGTATAATACAATTCACATACTCTATCCTGGGTAAGAGCTGTTGGAATCAAACCTTAATATCTTACAGAAAATGTATGGTAATTAGTCATGTACTTCCTAAAATCCGAAAGAATGGCCGTTTTAATGCAACGGGATATGAAAATCTAAATCAATGCTGATTGTGTTTGTTTCGACCATGCAACTTCTAAAGAAAATCTATTTTTTGTGTTGCCCTTCCAAAAAGTCGATATTTATGGACAATTACCGTAATGGATTTGTGTCTCACCTTCCCTCTTGAATAGAATCACAGGTTAAAAACAATAATGCTGACTATAAAATTATTTATAAAGTTATCAAAAATGGCAATGACATTTTTGGAAATAGACCTCCATGCTCTTAACAACTAATGTTTTTTAAAATAAAATGTTTTTTAGACATAGATGCAAAGCAGGGCCGTCGGAACCGTACCGGCAGCACCGGCTATGACTGGACCACTTTTTCTCAAAAAAAGTCAAAAAATAAATAAATAAATATATATATACTAAAAGCTAAAGGTCTTTGTAGCAGAAGACATTCAATAGTATATTTTCAGGGGCGGATGTAGAATTTTTCAAGCGGGGGTGGGCCCGGGCACAACAGGTTCAGAATAGGTAAATGAGTAGCTCATAGCATTAATTTGCATTGAAATGTTAAAAATTTAGTGGCAAAACAGGGGAAACGTGCCCCCGTTCCCTGAATCTACCTCTGATTTTCTAGTAATACTGTATCGTGCAGCTCACTTTCCGATATTCTGACTTTCTTGAGATGACTGATCACTGTCAAAAAAGATTAATATCGCTCAAGTGATTTGGCTTGCAAAATTAATCTTAGTCAGGCCAGCTACCAATTCTCCAAGTGAAAGATCGTTCAGCTCACTTCGGCGTGTGAAGACTTACCTGAAAACCACACAAAACCGTCAGACCATCAGACCTACCCCAATCTAAATTGTCAACGCAAAATCGCAAACTGTGACACAAAATATAAAAATTCAAAGATATCTCATTTCACCTTACCAGCTGTTAACAGGGCCGGCGGAACGTTTTTCAAAGTGGAGGGGGGGGGGGGGCACTTATAAGATGAATGGGGATATGAATCATGCAGAGCGGGAAATCATGCAGATCTGGAATCAAATCTGGGGGGGTCCGGGGTCCTCCCCCGGGAAAATTTTGATTTCTAGATGGCGGGAAATGACTTTTCTCGACTTTTGAGCTAGGTGTCTAACGACTTTGTTCTTCAAAATTCAAGGTTTCCCCTCTTGAAAACAGCCAGGTAAACTTTCTCATTCTTATCACAGTAAATAGGCCTGATATGTGTGTAAACATACATAAAAAAAAAAAAATGAGTAGTTGCGTAGGCCTACGTATTCATTTTTCAATGAATCGATAAGCTCCAAATTTTGATTCCTAGAAGGCAGAAATTTTTTTTCTCGACTTTTGAGGTGTCTTTTAATTACTTTTAAGTTCTTTAAAATTCAAGGTTTTCCCCTCTTGAAAATTATTATAATGAATCAATAAACCCAAAGAGAAAAGGGAGGTTCAGGTTCTCCCCGGGAAAATGTTGATATTTAAATGGTGGGAAATTAGCTTTCCCGATTT